TTATGGATAATCAAGGACCACAATTCTAGCCAAAAATGTTCATTAAAGGAAATGTAATTTTACCCCTTTTTCAAGATTTCAGATAAGTCTTTTTTTTGTCACCAGAATGTGTCTGCAAAGTTTCAACTCAAAACACCCATCAGATTATTTTTTATACCTTTCAGAATATTTTTCTGCTCTGAACACAATGTAGCTGTTTTTGTTGCCTGTGCCTTTAATGCTAGTTCTCCCCGTCCACTGTTCCCACATGCCTGTCAGAGTGTGCCTTCATTTTTGCCTGCATCAGATAAACAGCACAGTGACATACATGAAGGGATCAGATCTCACATAACGTTTGTGAGAAATACTATAGTAAGAACTTTACCAATGATTATTATTTGATGTATTTGTTGTGGAGCCTTTCTGCGACGTTGAGTCACACACAATGTCGCTACAAAGTTTACGCACACACACAGACAGACGCACACACAGTGGACATGTTTAACTTTGCATTAATATTGATATCCACTGCTGTATAGATATACGTTAATATACAAAAAAAAAAAAAACAATTTAACGTCCACAAACCGGGATTGAAGCATCTTCTTTTATAATTGAACTGACATGCAGCTGTGGTGATAAAATAAAGATGGTGAAATCGACAATAAAACTTGTAAAACTCATTCTTGATCACATCTGATGATGATTGATGATCACAGAGACCTGAACAATTTAATCCCAGTTGCTTTGCACACATCCTGTCTTGTTGATATGATTATACATATTTCTACGGAGACATGTTAATACATGGCTGTCAATCAATTTGGTGGGCGGGGAAACCGCACTCCTACGTCACATTGTGGTGGGCCTCAAAATGGGAGGGATTTGGATCCTATTTTAACGTCAGGAAATTTTTAAAAAGAGACTTATTGTGTTTGTCTTATTGTCCAAAGAGCCTACAAAAGATGATCGTCATCATAGGTGCCCTTTAAAGTCCTTCTAATGAAAAAAAAAAAAAAAGTCAAAAACTTGGATGGTCTGCGAGTCAGTAAATTAAAGTTAGATGTTAATTTTTGGTGAACTGTCCCTTTAAGGCCCATTCACACCAATAACTATAAAATAATTATAATTAAAAATTGTAAAAGGCAAGGGGGATCAATTCAAATGGAATGCATTTTCTTTTTTTCTCAGTAGATGAATAATAATAAAAATAGCAGCCAAGAATCTATTATTCTTGTATTTAAAGTGGCAGAATGGTACAGTATTATTTGCTCTCATGGATAAATCAATGTTCTTGATGTGCAATAGGCCTATATAGAACGTCTTAAGATGGCTACAGTCCATCGTTATTTTTTTTTTTCAGGGCAAGTGTGACATAAAACTTTGATCCAAGAATCATTTCCTCAACATCATCATGAGAGACAGTGAAGAGGGTACAGATTGCTGACCTACTTTTGAAGTATAGAGACTAAAAGGGAATATTGGCTCACTCCCACTGGGACTTGTGCTCTCACTGGCAGGCTGATAGAAACATCTACATACTCATAATTAAATGATCTACAGTCTATATGTAGGTAGCAGACACACTCCCTGAGCCTATAATTAAATATATTATCTTATAATGAACCCACTGTCCACTGAAGTGCATGGTAATTTTATGCAAATACACAGGTATGTCTGAATAGAGATCGCTCCCTCAGAATATTAATAGTGTCAAGTGTTAAAAGAATTTAAGGTATACGATTTATGTGATTATGGGTTTGATAGTCCAAGTTGTTCTGGGTTAAATATTGCCATAAAACAACTGCTCTGGGACTGTTGTTGTTGGTTAACATGTGATCAGCTTTGTTTTATTACTGAATGGATATTTACTGTATTCATGGGAGATACATCATACTCCGTAAATGATGCTTAATCATATGTTTACACAGGAGGGAAGTTCAGCCTGGTGAAAAGCTGAGATGGCTGCGGCTTTACCACAAAAGGACTAGGGATTTGGAGATGATAATTCCCCACAAAGTGTGATTAAGGTCATCAGTTTTTAACCACATGCTTTTTTTTGCTTCTGCATGTGAAAGCAGAAACAGAATTATGTCTCTTTAGATTGTGTCATTATACACAAATTGGAAACACTCTTTCTTTATATCCATCACAACACACAACAAGTCAAACAAGAACAAACAATCTTATATTCAGATTGTTACAGAAAAAAACTGAAATGGCATTCAGTGTTTCTTTATATGTATATAAAAAATGTTTTTAAAGGAAGTTTCTTCCCAATTTCAAATAAAAAAGTCAATTAGAAAATTCCCAAAAATGTCAATTGATCAAAATAAAATGTTATTTAACTCTTCTGAAGTTGTCTAAAAACATGGCATTGTTAAAAAATGGTAAAACTTTATAGTATATATATATATATATATATATATATATATATACTATAAAATATATGCAGGCCCATAGCCAGGGAGATCCACCCCCCACTTACAAAGGTCCAGAATTTGTCCCAAACATGAGCACATTTTGACTGCTATGCAATAATAAATTTACATTTACATTTAGTCATTTAGCAGACGCTTTTATCCAAAGCGACTTACAAATGAGGACAAGGAAGCAATTTACACAACTATAAGAGCAACAATGAATAAGTGCTATAGGCAAGTTTCAGGTCTGTAAAGTCTAAGAAGGAAAGTATTAGTATTTTTTTTTTTTTTTTTGGGTACAGTAAGTGTGATATTCAGAGAGGCAATTGCAGATTAGGAAGTGAAGTGGAGACTAAATAGGTGAGTTTTTAGTCGTTTCTTGAAAATTGCGAGTGACTCTGCTGTTCTGATACAGTTAGGGAGTTCATTCCACCAACTGGGCAGATTGAGCGTGAGCATTCGCGATAGTGATTTCTTCCCTCTTTGGGATGGAACCACGAGGCGACGTTCATTCACAGAACGCAAGTTTCTGGAGGGCACATAGATCTGCAGAAGTGAGAGCAGATAAGAAGGAGCAAGGCCAGAAGTCACTTTGTAGGCAAACATCAGAGCTTTGAATTTGATGCGAGCAGCAACTGGCAGCCAGTGCAAACGGACTAGCAGTGGAGTGACATGTGCTCGTTTAGGTTCATTGAAGACCACTCGTGCTGCTGCGTTCTGGAGCAGTTGAAGAGGCTTGAAATAAATAATAATATTAATAAATAGTGATAATAACCAGTTGGAAAAGGCTTTAAGGCCAATAAATAAGTTTGAAGCACCAAACTTAGCCCATATTAAAGTAAATTTTTGTACTAATTAGATTATTGTGGTCATACATGAATTTTTCAATTTTTCTTATTTAAACGAAAGGTTAGAAAAATTGTAAATTGCTATTTGCTATATGGCAAAATTTAAAAAAAAATGTTTTTGTCTAATAAATGACAATAGGCAACATTTTTCATTTTTTAAACTTGATGGCCATCTGACAAGCTAATCAAGCAAAAAATGGTTGTTGCTAGATCAGATACGTGTTCGCCCGGAAGTTACCGAGAATTATTTATATTATTAAATTCCCCATTAATTGTATTTTATTATCATCTTCCCCTAAACTCAACCATCACAGTATAGTAAAAACAGTAGTTGTACCGAGTATTGATTGTTATTTAATAAATTACCCAATAAATTGTATTTCTTAACGTACCCCTACCCCAAGCCTAAACCCAACCATCACAGTAATGTAAAAATATGAATTATTATTATACAGTGTCACAAAAATGATGCTACATTGATGAGCGCATCCGGAGCTGTGTCCTATCAATTCTCATTTCCAAACATAATAGTTTTAATAACTCATTTCTAATAACTGATTTATTTTATCTTTGCCATGATGACAGTACATGATATTTTACTAGATATTTTTCAAGACCCTTCTATACAGACTAAAGTGACATTTAAAGGCTTAACTAGGTTAATTGGGTTAACTAAGGATAGGATAATTAGGCAAGTCATTGTATATTAATGGTTTGTTCTGCAAATATGCTCCATATATATATATATATATATATATATATATATATATATATATATAGCTTAAAGTGGCTACTAATTTTGACCTTAAAATTGTTTCAAAATTGTCTTTTGGCTTAAAAAGCAACAAAAATAAATAAATAAATAAAAAATTCTAGCCAAAACTTCTAGCCAAAATAAAGCAAGTTAAACACCATTTGTGAAATATTTAAAAAAGAAAAACATTTAATATATATATATATATATATATATATATATATATATATGTGTGTGTGTGTGTGTGTGTGTGTGTGTGTGTGTGTGTGTGTGTGTGTGTGTGTGTGTATATTTATAACATAATAAATATTAATATGTTATATTATGTTAATATTAATATTAACATAATAAATAAATAACATTGTAATAAATATTTCATTATTAACCCTTTAAGCCAATGAATCATAAAAATGTAAAATTATTTCATGTAATGTTTCTGGAAAATGTTATTTTAATAATTGTTATTATATACCGTTTTAGCCTATAGAAATCGCAATGTAGCGGGAGTGGAAAAGAAATATTATCAAAGTAAAGAGCCACCATTACAGACACTAATAATTAAAATCCCTTATCGTTTTTCTATTATCCACAGCTCGTGATCTTCATTATAGCGCATTTAATCTTTATCGCACAGTAGGCAACGTGAATGCTGAGTCGTCTGGTGTGACTCTTATCATTTCACCTATATCCACCCCCTCTCCTCCTCTCTCGCTTTCAGTCTCTGTGCCCTCATGATGCCACGGCGCTCGCTAATCCGCTCTCCGCGGTGCACATGCTCAGTACCGATCACTGTGGCGATCTGTAATGGCTGCGGGATGATGTGATACGAGTCCCGGTGCCGAGCCGCGTCTCTTCGGTAGGAATGCCTTTTCCTTGAGACCGCCAACCACTCCGTTCATTCCTCCGTCAACATGGTTGGCATCCGACAGAAGAATAATCGTCGGACATCGTAGTCTCGTGCACGTGCGAGGGCGATATTCGTGTAAGTTGAATGTTTATTTTGTGTCTGTAAATTGCGATTCATTGAGCGGGGGATCCGGACATGCGTGTGTCAGTGTTTGTTATCCGAGGTCACTACAGTTCAAAGCAGCATCTCTAGAGAGACAAGACACGCATATAGACGCGTGCTGCATAGAGCTGCATTTAGACATTATAAATAACGTTAGCGTGTTTTGATTCCATTTCAGTGCATGTTGCGTTTTATTGCAAACGTTTAACACCGGTTATCACAACGTGCTAAAGCAGCGTCGCGTTGGTATCTTTAACGATAACCTAATACATCTGTTTCTTACGTGGGTTGTTCTTATGTATATTAATAGGAGTAAAACAGAAGTTATTTGTGTAGATGCGCTTATTTAGCACCGCAACAGGCTCACTGTGCGACCAGCCAGTCACACACAATGAATTTTCAATGAGCTCGGGGGTTACTACAGTTCATTTCGACAGTTCCTGCTGCCTCCAACACTAAAATGCATTATCAGATGTCGTGGTGTGGTGCGGGCGGTCAGAAATGCTTCCTAAAACGGTTAAAGTCTTTTAAAAGGATACCAAAAACAGCAAGATGAGAAAAGGTAGATTTTGAAGCAACGTTTTAATGGTTTTGAAATGTGTCAATCTTCATAGAAGTTATTAAGACTGGCAACAGAAATGTGTTCTCCTTTACGGGGTAGCCATAGCAACAGTAGGCCGCATGAGGGGTTTTCGTAAATTGTCTAAATACTAAATGCTATATTTATGTCTTCATTGAATACACAGTATTTATTAAAGTGTATTTGCACATAAAAAGTGTCAAGAAAATGTGTTTTTTGCTGGTTTAAGCTGGAAGTTACTTGTTTTAGCTGGTTTTCAAGCTTGGCTAAGCTGTTTCAACTGGTTTTCCACTCAGTCCATATTGTACAGTTAGTAAGACCAGTTTAAGACCACATTTTAAAATGAAGTAACTGATTGCCTTGCTTATTAATTTATGGGACATTCTACCAGAAACGTTCGTTATCTGTCCCCGAAATTAAAACATGAATACAGTGAATAATAAGTATTTAATCCCCCAAATTTTTTTAAAATGGACTGATGGTTGATTTCTGTTATTTCTTTTAAGGAATATGTCATTCATTAGGTTCTTAGATTTTAGTTTTTTATTAAAAACACTTTTCAAATGTACAAACCCTGTCCTTGTCCTCTGCCCAATGGGCTATATGCACAGTTAAGTGTTTTCCAGCCAATTGTAAACTTTCTGTGAAAGGTTTCTGTGACTATTTTAAAGCTTATAAGGTTCCTTTTACAGCATCAACATCATAATTTTATTAAAATACAATCAGTTAAATAAACTTAAGCATTCATTTAGTGGTTCAAGTATAAAATGAGATGAAAGACCGTGTAACAGCTAGCACCGTCAGTATCAGCAAGCTAGCACAGAAACTCCATTCAAAATCCTGAAGTAAAATTCATTTTCATATTTTAAAGACATGGCAGGAAAAAATGAATTTAATGCAGTGTTTCTTTTCTGGTCTGAGACTAACTTTATATCAAATATCTATTAGGCAGTGAAGACTTATTTTTAAAGAAAACAGATCTTAAATGTGGCGATTTTGTAATGGAAAGACAGTTCACCAGAAGCCGTCGAGCTGGCTGGCTGCAAATTAAAAGTCTGTGTGCATATACCCCATTGAACGTCCATAAAACTATTATTTAGCAAAAAAAAAAAAAAAAAAAACAACTTCTGAAATAGCAAAATTGTTATCATTCACATTAATTGATCAAAAACATGAAATTATAAATAAGTTCTACAAATAGATACTACAAATATATAATACAAATGGCGTCACAGTGGCGCAGTGGGTTCGAAAGTTGCCGGTTCAAAGCCCGGCTGTTGTTGGAGTTGGCATTTTTCCCTGTTGATTGTATTCTCCCCGTGTTGGCGTGGGTTTCCTCCGGGTGCTCCGGTTTCCCCCACAGTCCAAAGACATGTGGTACAGGTGAATTGAATAAGCTAAATTGGCCATAGTGTATATCTGTGAATACAAGAGTGTACGGGTGTTTCCCAGTGTTGGGTTGTGGCTGGAAGGGCATCCGCTGTGTAAAGCATATGCTGGATATAAGTTGGTGAAAAGAAAGCCAAAAATGAATGAATGAATATATTAAATTGATGTTTCTGTCAGTCCTGTCACATTTGCATTAAATTTAACATAAAATGCGTGCAATACACACAAGCTATTAAGGCTCAGAGGAAGTGACATCATTTGATGGAGAAGCTGACAGTGATCAAGAATGTGTTCTATCATTGAAATGTATGATTTTATGCTTGTTTTAGAATAATTTTTGAGGAAGACAAGCTTAAAGGTCAGGCCTTGTGACATTTTTTTAAAAGTAGAAATGGACGTTTTTTTGGTAGAATGTCCCTTATGAAAAAAAACTGTCATGAGGTAAAAGAAATCTTTGTTTTTAATAATTCTAGGAAAAAAAAGCTTAGAATTCCAACATTTAAAGTGATAGTACACCCAAAAATATAATGTACTCACCCTTGAATGGTTCCAAACCTTTGAGAGATTAATGAGATTCTTTCTTCTGTTAAACACAAAAGAAGATATTTTGAAGAAAACTAAAAAAAAAACTAAAACTTCATCTATTCATTGTCTTTTCGGCTTAGTTCATTTTTTTTTTTATCAAGGGTCACCACAGAGGGATGAACCGCCAACTAATCCAGCGCATGTTTTATGCAACGGATTGACTTCCAGCAGCAACCCAACACTGGGAAACACCCATACACTCTTACATTCACACACATACACTATGACCAATTAAACTTACCCAATTCACCTATAAGCGCATGTCTTTGGACTTTGGGGGAAACCTGAGCACTCGGAGGAAACCCACACGAACACAGTGAGAACATGCTTACTCTAAACAGAAATGCCATCTGACCCAGCAGGGGCTCGAACCAGCGACCTTCATGCTGTGAGGCGATCATGTTACCCACTGTGCCACTGTGACACCCAAAAACCTGAAACTTCTGTTCAACAAAAGAAGGAAAGTCTAAGGGGTTTGGAACAAGTAAAATATGATGTCAGAATTTTCAGTTTTGGGTGAACTATCCCTTGAAACCTTTTGGAAAATGAATTCAGAATTGAGAGAAATAGACTTCAACACAACATAAAAAATCCAAACTTTGAGTTTGTCTCAGATCTGCGAAAATGTCAGAATGGAGAGATTTATTATGAAAATGGTAAGACGTTAACTCTAATCCTGAGGCTTAATCTCAAAATCAACTGCAGAAACCTATTTGGAATTGCGAGATGTGCATTTAATGCGAGATGTTCTCTGTAATAGGAGATGCTGTCACAATGTTTTAACAAAATTATTAAAAAAAAAAAAAATTTAAGGTGTAGAGCTCTTTCATTTTTTTCTTAATTGCTGCTAATTTTTGTACAGAAATAATATATGTTCTGCCATAACCAAATTGCTATTTTAAAAACAAATAAATATTGAATAATATAAACTAAAGAAAACTCATTAATATAAACAAACTAAAACTGTGACTGTGCTGGGATTTTACATTTTTAAAAAGAAATATCAGCATATCTGTGTTTTCTGGCAAAAGCTGAGGTCTTTGCACATTTACAACGTCCCCTGCTGATGAAAAAACTCTTTCACTGGGGACTAAGATAGCTGGTGTGCAGATGTAAGCCTTTCCTAAACCAGAGAGCAGTATGTACTAAGGTGGTCAATAGGCCCTCTTCTCTAGGGGACTGACCACTGGCATAAAATACTGATTATAAAATGTCTTATTATGTAGTGGGATTAGAGACAGAAGTTGAACCTGATTATGAAGGTGAATAATTAATGTTACTTGTTACTCTTTTCTGCGAAAATGTCAGAATGAAGAGATTTATTATAAAAATGGTAAGACATTACCTCTAATTGTGAGGCTTAATTTCAAAATCAACTGCAGAAGTGTATTTAGATTTGCAAGATGTGCATCTAATGCGAGTTATGAGATGCTTACTGCAAAAGCTTGTAATTGTGACCAAGAAGTTATAATGGCAAGATATAAACTCAGAATTGTCTCAGTTACCCCTATTCATTTATTTATTTAATTATGTGGCAGAAACAATCTTCCATACTGAAGTCCTGTAAAAGTTGCTGTACAACAGAAGTTATAACAAGTGACTGCTTCTCCAGAAGTCTGCACACTGAGTGCAAAACAGATGCAGTATATTTACTATTATATAACTGTTTCCCTATATAGACGAGGCTGGTTCTTACAGTTGTTATGGTAACTTTGACAATCAAGTTATTTGCAAAACACATAACTAGCTGTGTTATGATATATAATAATGTATATTCGATTGTTTTTAGCCTCTGTCTGTGCTTCATTGTGTGTGTGTGTGTGTGTGTGTGTGTGTGTGTGTGTGTGTGTGTGTGTGTGTGTGTTTGAAAAGCACGTTGCCCTGAGGAAACCGGTTATGTAATAACCTGTGTTTACTGTCTATATTAAACTTCACTGCACAATGTTGCCACATATTACATTTAGTCAGTCTAATTATAGCGTGTATACAAGCTTTTTGTATTTGCTGCTGTTTTTTGTTGATTGAATACTTGCTTCTCTTGTGCTCAGAGCATCATTTTTTTTTTACTGGTGAACAGTCATGAACCTGCCTCTATCTGTGTGTTTCTGATATCAGTGCAGTGCTGGTGTGAGATAGTGCCAGTGAGTTGCGTGTGGTTGGCGGTAGTCAGGACTCAGGAGTGATGGCTGTGAAGGAGCGGGTGGAGGCGGTGCTGAATGTGGGCCTGCGGGTCCCCAGTATCATGTTGCTTGAGGTGCTGTACCGCTGGGACGTCAGCTCCTTCTTCCAGAAGATCCAGAGGAGCAGCCTCAACAACAACCCCCTCTTCCAGTACAAGTACCTGGCCCTCTACCTTCACTATGTGGGTAAGTGATAAATTACTATTGTTATGTGATACTACCGTAGAATATGAATGATGAGCAGTTTTGCCATAAAATTACCATGGTAGTAACATCTCTGCACCATTTTTTAAAGAAATGAATGGGTTTTTATCAGTATTTATTTTTCTTTTAGATGTGATCATGCATGCAGCGTTTGAATTGTTTATGCACATTTTACAATGCATGTGAACTCTTTTGTTGTTAGGATTGTAATATTCACTGGTCAGTTTGACCCACAATTGCATGGCTAAAGACACATAAACAGACCTCCCATAAAAAGGATGTAATTTATAATCTCAGATCTTCTGAAAGATTTTCCATGTATGCAAAGCAGTGTTTCTTACCTCAAGTGCATTTTTTTTTGTCAGATAAAGCATGGTATTTTTGCATTAAAAGAGTTTTAATTTTGTCCATATTAGGATATTTAGATTTTTATTATTTTTTTGCAAAAGGAATAGGCCTGCACAACATATCGTTTCAGCATCGATATCGCAGTGTGCAATTCTGCAAAAGACACTTCACAGGACATGCAATGTCTTGTTGGGATTAATATAACATGACATATAACATGACCTAATCTAATAGGCTCAAACAGTGTGACAGTCATTTTAATGTGTTTTTCAGGCCTGTGACTAAGAATTCAAGCTAATTTAAACCATTTGGGCACAGGAAATGATAAAGTTTGCCACTTTAACAAAGATGAATTGTATTTATTTATTTATACAATAAAGACTGTAATGGTGTCAATTTACATTTGATTATTGAATTTTGAACCTCAATGCTGTTAAACTTGACAGAAGACTATGAAGCACTGTTTATTTAAATTTTATCTTTGTTATAATGTTTTCATTTGTACATTGTTACTAGGCATGGGCTGGTAAAAGATTCTGACAGTATGATAACTTTGGATAAAAATATCACAGTTTCATGATTTCACGGTATTGTGATTACTGCTCTAAAATATATTCTTTTGTTGATGTCTGGGTGAAAAAATAAATAAAATTTCCCCTTTGAACACAATGAATTTTATTTTAAAGAAATGTTTATAATATTTTGGAGCAGTAAACATGTCATGCTAAATAATGAAAATGAATTATTGATATCTGCTGTCTTCATTTCAAAAACACATTTTTTTTCTGCTTGAGATAGTTAATAAAAAAAAAAAAAGAAAACGTAAATAAAAAAATTACACATATCTTAGGATCGATATAGCAGAAAATGTTGGTGGTTTTAAAACCTTGACTTTTTCAAACTGCTGTACACTTTGAAAACAGTTTCGTCCTATGCCTAATTGTTACTTTGTATATAAATATATATATATATATATATATATATATATATATATATATATATATATATATTATGCAGATGCACTCCAAATCCCAATCAATGTAAAGTGATACTTTTTTTTCTAAAAAGAGAAATTCATAGAGATATTTCATATCGCAACACAGGAAAACATCTAACACAATAATTCAAAATATCCAATATAAGTGTTTTCCAATATAATGTAGGCCAATAATAAGGAAGTAGTAATGTTAAAGGTTTACTGCTTCTTTTATTATTATTTTTTTATTTAGATTTATTGATCAGATTTTTATGACAGCTGAACAAACGAGAGTAAAATAAAAAATAAAAAGTTTACTGTTTGTGTGTGTGTGTGTGTGTGTGTATGATTGTGTGTGAATCATTCAGAATTTGGGTTAATTTGATCTGCAAACATTAACTAAAACCCTAAATTCAAACACCATGTAATGTTTAAAAATAAAGATTCTAAATTGCACAGCAAAGCAGTCAAATCTTCGTTTACCTTAGTCTTTTGTGCAAGGAAATTATTTTAAATGGCTATTAAATGTATGGATGTTTTTCATGGATGCATTATTGTCTATAGAGAACCTTTGTTTTAGATAGTGTTCCTACTTGTTTCTTAACTTTTACTATACACCAAAAGTTGCCACCTATCAGAATGGTAAATGATAAGATTCTTATTAAGATTCTTAGCTATTAGAATAAGAATAAGTAGCAAGTTATTCTAGAGGTCAGACAGGAGGCCTGTTTATAACATTACTCCAGATTGCCAGTCATTTGAGTAATGTTGGCACAGGCAGCGAGATGATTGAGTGGAGAATAGAAAAAAACAAAGTGAAAGGAGTTGGCAAAAAGCCTCATATGCGAAAAAAAGATCACCAGACAATAAATAAATGCAACCTATTTCTCAGTGTTTATTTAGCCGGTGGTCCTGCTGCCAGTGGTGGAGCCTGTTTTGGGCCACAGGGCTCTCACAGCCCCTGTCCGAGTTTTAAAAGACTCAGTGGAGCGCGGTTAGTTCTCATTAACATCCCTACAGACAGCACTCATCTTTTATTCACTGGCATCCTTCTATGTTGATTTAAAATTGTGAATTACTCTGCCACTTTCTATATTATCTGTGTTTGCTCTCCATTTGAATGCATTTGATTATTTATTTATTTGGCTTCAGCCATTTGGCCTAGTTTGTAGAAGAATTTAGTACAATTCCAAGCCACCCTCCGTTTAACCCATGTTTAAGTGGTTTGTGAACTTCAATTAAAGCCACAGACTTCTGTAAAACTCGCTTTTGGAGCAGATGTTAGTTTTGTACCCCAAGGAACAAACCCTAATGACCTTGCATTTGTCTCATCGGTGTATGTGTGTGGTCATGCGCTTATGCCCATGCGGCTGTTATTTACCCTAGAGGGAATGCTTTTGAGGTTACATGCGGATGTTCGTACAATAAGAAGGGCAGCATTGACCCTAGAACAGGGGTCACCAACCTTTTGGAAACTGAGTGCTACTTCTTGGGTATCGTTTAATGTGAAGGGCTACCAGTTTGATAAACACTTCCTAATAACTAATTTGCTCAATTATTATTAATAATAAATGATATTCATCTATGTGAAGACACTGATCATGTTAATGATATCTCACAATAGTTGTCAACATTGATTGGAAACAGATAAATATCAATATTCAACACTTTATTTGTCTGAAATTGTTTTCAATGTTTTTTTAAATATATATCTTAATGTCGTTTTTAATTTTACACCAATGCAAGTGTGATTTAAAAAGAATAGCTACAAAAATATTAGATGCACCTTACAGGTATGTGGTGCAATGGTAAGCTAATTTTATAACAGGCCCACGGGCAACTCATGTGTTCCTCGCGGGCTACCATGTTGGTGACCCCTGCTCTAGAATATAGAGCAGCACTCAATCAACTGATGAACTAAAATACAAACAAAAAAAGCAATGTGTCAATCTGTACATTCAATTTACAGATTAAAATGGAATTTTTGGAATGAATACACAGGAAATTTTGAATTATATTGAAATTTCACAGCTTGTGCTATTAGTCACAGTCATACAGGTGGGCTGTTTTCAGTGCATATTTAATAAAATGGTAACACTTTATTTTAGATCACAATTCATAGTGTTTACACACCATTAACTAAGGATATTAGCTCAATAAGCTGCTAATTAGCTGCTCATTAATAGTAAGTAAGGTAGAAGTTGGGTTTAGAGGCAAATGGGGCAAATGCGGGGTGTTGGATGGCAGAGGGGTGTTGCGGATAAAAGTGAACATGAACAGCGGACAGGCGAGGAGTGCGGTTGAGGAAGGAGATCTGTAAAATAAGGTGCAGATTTCAGTGGTGCCAGATCCGGCGTGTTCCGGCACAAATTGAGCCCTGATAATATCCCTATATCAATTTTCAAGTCTAAAAGGGTTAATTTATTCACAATGCAATGCACTAAAATTTATTTGGCGTTTTTAGGTAACACTAGTGTGTTAGTGTTTTTAGTTACTAGTAAGTTTTGCAAACAAAGAAATGGCAAGTGTGTGTGTGTGTGTGTGTGTGTGTGTGTGTGTGTGTGTGTGTGTGTGTGTGTGTGTGTGTGTGTGTGTGTGTGTGTGTGTGTGTGTGTGTGTGTGTGTGTGTGTGTGTGTGTGTGTGTGTGTGTATAATATTGGTTTACAACTTTTTTTTTTTTTGCTTATTAGTGTTAGAAATATTAAGTCCTTCAAGTCTTGGGATTCAAACAGCAATCAAAAATCAACAGAGAAAAATATTGTGTTGTAAAACTGCAAATATATTAGATGTTATTCATGCTTGGTAACACTTTAGTCTATGTCACAATTCAGGGCATTTACAAACCATTAAATAACACTTCTAGCTTAATGAACTACTAATCAGCTGTTTTTTGGTGTTGTAACTCATCACAAATCTCATGGTTTGGATTACATTATGGTCTTTTAGTCACTGAGGGGACCCTTTTTCAGATCAGCAAAAAAGGGGAGAAGACAAATGTAATTTGCTTTTCATTTATTACAAAAACAGTACTGCAAGAAACTTTTGGTTTTAACAAACAGAACTTAGAATCTGTAATTTTATTAAAAACAAAATGAACAATTAATCAGCTGAATAAAAATAAATTGTAAATTATTCAGTCCTGTGAAAAATTCACTTTTACTACTACTTTTGCTGATAACACTAAATGTAGAAATCTAACAGTATAATTTGTACAACCCATATTTATTTTTAGTCTCATTTTCAATAAATAATTCTGTTTGTTACTTATAAAACTTCATGTTTCATTGCTAGATGATCATGTTGGAAGAATTATTCATTGGCATATTTTTAGTGGCTGGTTGTCGCCACCTATTGGTTAAATAATGTAATTACTGCCTACAACTTATTTTTGAGCGTCAAGTTAAATACATATGGTGATTTTCATCTTTACGATAAACAGCAGTGGTTATAGCTAAACTATAAACTGTTATCCAGTACTTGTGTTATTTGACTGTAAACTAAAGACTAAATCTCTTTCTTGTTATCTGCGTTTTTCAAACACAGATTTGAATGCAGCGAGTCGAAGGATTAATAAACATATGCAAATCACTATCATTTATAATTTATGTTGTATGGTTATTGAGATCCCAATCTTTCAATGAATAATTGTGCTGCTTA